ATAAATCATTGTTTGTAATAACCATTTGTAATAATTGTTATTGTATATTGTGTTGTTGTGTGTATATTAAAACATGTGTTAAAAAAAAAACTGTGTATCAATCTTGTTGACAAATATCATAAACTGACTATATATCGGCTTTTACTTAATTGCTAAATCTAACATATAATTTGACTACTAAATTTAAAGTATCATTTAGCTCAGTTTCAGACCATTTGAAATTCTAATATGTAACATAAGTTACTGTACAGAAGGGGTCAATCCACAGATGGCAGAGTAGGAATACAAACTTCCAATCCACAGAGAAAGTCACACCCACCAACTACACTAAAAGGCAATTATCTGTTTCTGAGCAACAGTATCGTACTAGATGCAAGTAGCCACATTACAAAACTATAAAAGCTAGACCTGACACTTTGTGGTATTTTGCAGTAATGAGAGAAGCTTCTCCTTTCTAAAGTTTGTGAAAAGTTGTTCAAGAACCATTATGGCATAATATTGCCTGAATGACCTGTTGTTAAATGTAGTAGAAGAGAACTCAATAAGTAAACCTGGAGTGTGTTAGGGATGTGTTAGCACACGTCACTCTGAATAAATGCAATGTTTGGCAATCTGATAGATGATCTTGATCTGAGAGAACATCCAGCATTTACAAGTCTGCACACACAGTGTTTTACTTTAAATAAAGGTTAGCTATATTTTATACTTCTGTCAAGTCTTGTTTAATATAATGTTTAACACTGACTCAGTTAAGTAGGAGTTTTGTAATACTCTGTAATCACTATCCTGATTGAATTTCTAGTTATTTAACAAACCTATCTGATAGCTCAAAGTTATATTAATTTTAAACTGGATAGATCACAACATTAAACTGTGATGTCAAATTACATTTGTTCAAGCCTGACCTTTCATATGCATAGATTAAAGAATTTGAATAAAATATTGAAACCCATTGTAAAGTTAATAAGTCATTTCCATGACCCTACGAAATCCAACTTTCATAAACTGCAGTAAATTACATGAAAGAGAATGAGTGGGAGGCTAATGTTAGAATTGTAAGGTTGTGGAATGAGTTTGTCTGATGATGTGTTGTATGCTTAAGCTAAGAAAAAAATTCCCTTTTTCTTTTTACAAAGATAGTTTGTATGAATATTTTAGAACATGGAAAAGTAAAATTGGTTTAAATTACCTCATTTTATAATACGAGTTGTTAAGGTTTCCATATTTCAACTGTGTTATGTAGAGTTTATACAACAATAAAATAAACTGTATTCAAAGCGACAATGATAGGGATGAAACTGAAAACAGCTTTCCTGAAATTTGAACTACTATCTCAGAGCATAGTCATTTAGATAGTGACGATGATGCTGCTGCCTTATTAAAACTTGGGTATGGTGTGAAGTAGATACCATAGGGCAACTTCCCCCTTCTTCCCCTAGGTTCCAATTTCATGTGGTACCTCTTCATTGAATATCAATATTGACTTTAATGGTGACATTTTGCAGCTTTTTAAGTATTATTTGTGATAATGTATTAGTAGATATGATATCAACAGAAACAAATCATTGTGCAGTTTACAAATATATTAACAGGTCATAAAGAACTTTTGTTTTATTAATACATGAATAAAGGTTATAAGAAAGTGAAATAAACAAAACTTTTTTTAAGCTCATGAAAGGGATTGATGGTAGAATTTAACACAGAACAAGGACTGACATGTATATAAATATGTAAAAATCAAGTTTAATATTAAAGGCTAGAATATTAGGCTACACTTTCTATACGAGTCAATGGATTCAAAATTACACGTACCTTCATGTCTAATACATGTTTAGAAAGTTTTACTTTTTCCCTAGGTTCCATAGTCATCTTTGGAGTAGTCTTTTCTATCAAAACCTGCAATATATAAAAAATATTATTCAAAATAAATATAAAGAACTTATTTTTCAATAACATATTATAAACAAGATTAAAACCACCCATAAACATTTATTAAGGATTAAAAAAATATTTTTTTTATTATATAATAATAAACTTTGGCTTAAACATACTTCAAGTTTTTTCTCAGCATTAAAACAAAATTCTTAGTAATTATAGGGTAATTTAGGCAATGCATAAATGGTAGAGGTTTAGCTTTAATGGACTGCTTCTGTCTATTTCAAGAGTAAGACAACAGGCAGGAGCAGTCAAAGAGAAAACTTCGTCATTCTCAGTAATATTTTCCATAAAATACAACCCACTTTTGCAATTTACATACTTGATGTTTCATGCAAGTTCCAAAAAGAATATACAACATATATTATTTTTAAATTATAAACTGACAAAGAATATTTTTGTGAAAACTGTTAGGAAGTTCGGAAGTACTTTTGCATGATTAAAAACCAAAAACACATTTTTCTGATACATTTATGTAGAACTTTATTATAATTTTGTAAGAATATTAAACAATAATAATTGCAAATTATGCCAACTATATAAAAAAAGAAAATCACACTGTAACAAAATTTTTGAAAGGAATGAATCAGTAATTCATCACAGAGTGAAATAATTTGAAATATTTTTTTCAGAAATACATATATTGAAGATCAGGTACCAAAGATCATGATGTATTTGTTTTTACTGTTATAATCAAGACTTAGTGGTAATGCTTAAAAAAATTTATTTTCTGATATAAGACATTTTTCAGAGTATGAAGATTAGGAGTAATGCTTAAATGAGAAAATTGATGTGCTTTAAAAAGTCTTACTAGAATTATTAGGAAGATCAAAATGGAATGTATTCAAACCAAAATTGCTGTTCACTTACAAAAACAACAACACCTAAATAAAACTCCTGGAATGACCAATCTAATAGTTATTTAGAAAGCCTATTAAAGTAGAAAATTAAAGCTGATGTTACAATTAACTTATCACATAAAAACAACAAAAGAAGTTTAATAAAAATACTGGTACTCTAAACAGTGACTACAGAAAATAAACTTATGGCATAACTTTTTTCAACAATTGTCACTTCATTAAAAATTCTGATGAGATTCAATAATTTTGAATTTTTTTAGTGGAAAGAAAGAGTAAATTTTGGATTTTGTTACAGTGGAGATATCAGCAATTTGATGTACGTGTATTTTGAGGGTGATTTTTTTTTCTAGGGGATAGCATTTCTTATTCAGTTACCATACTTGGAAATTAGATAAGTATCATAACCTTACTATATGATAATCAGCTACAGAGAGACTACATTATTTGTAGCTGATAAAACCATGAAGTCCAATTTGTCTATGCTGGCATTCTATTTTATCTCATTCCTTCATAATTCCTCCTATATTCGCATGTAAGAGCAAAAATTGTTCATTTTACATCATAAATATCATTCTCAGCTTTTATTCTTCTGTAAACCTTTTTTTGGTCATATTTGAATATTAATCCAAAATTCATGCTCTGGATCTGTTTTTTATAAACTTTATAATTTATATGTTCCAGTAACTGAGGTAAATCAATCACATCAGTATAGGTTGGTTGGTTGTTTGGCAGTTAATGGCACAAAGCAACTACGCTACCTGTCCCAAGCAACTGGTAAAAATTGCAAAAGTAAAATTAAAAAAAAATGTAAAAATAAATCAAGTTAAAACTAACCAATGTTCAAAATTCAGATAAAAGATTCAAATAGAATTAAAAAGGCCAATGGTTCATAAAAATTTTAAAATACAATCAAGTTGGACAGTGTGACCATCACCAATGACACCATCCAATGTTGGGGATAAGCCCTTTGAAAACACGTCTAAAATGGTGCTGTAGCTCAGTCATAACAACAGAACGACAGTAAAATGTGGGCTATTGTGACTTGAGTGTCACAAATGCCACACATTAGAGGATCAGTCCCAGATAAAAGAAAACGATGAGTTCAAAAAAATGTGACCAATGCGTAGCCTAGCCAGGACAACTTCCTCTTTCTGATCCTTACAGAAACAAGATGGCCAAAGAGCAACAGAAGGTTTGATCTGGAAAAGTGTGTTATGACGTTGCTCACCCCAAGTCAACTTCCAACTGGTGTGAAGTTGTGCCTTGAATACAGGACCATAGTCCATATATGGGACAGGCATGGCCGTGACGGCACCAGAGCAGACACTCGTAGCTGCAGTGTCAGCAAGCTTGTTCCTGTGAATACTGATAAGGCCAGTTATTCAGAAAAACTGGATAGTAATGGAAGATGAAGAAAAATTGGCCAGCTGTTGTTGAATATCGATGAGAACAGGGTGAGAACTAATGTTAAGCAATTCCATGGCTGGTAAAGAGCTAAGAGAGTCGGTGTAAATAGTAAATTTGGTGTACTGCACAGCTTCTACATGATCAAGGGCAAGAGAAGTAGCATACAACTCGGCAGTGAACACAGAAACTGTAGAGGAGATCCTGTGAGCAACCTCCAAGCCACAACAAACCATGGCAGGGCCCAAAGATTCACCTGATTTCAAACCATCCATATAAATGGGAATAGAAAAATGGTTCATATGGTGACCAGTATATGTACTTTGACTGAAAATACAATGAACATATTATAACATAGCTTGTATTAAATGTACTTAATTCTATTATCTTCAAATATGTTTGTTTCATTACATGAACAAAAGAAAAAATTCATTTAGGTTTAGGTAACATAAGAACACATTAAAATTTCAAAGAAATGTATGTATAAGTAGATATACAGTAATCCCTCATTTATGATTTACTTTCCTTCCCTAAATATATTGTAGCTAAATATCTGCTGATAGTGTAGATACTAACCCTAGTGAAGAGTAACTGTGTTACTGAAACTAGTCAGCTGTAACTGATAATAAAGATATTACCTTTCATTGTGCCAAAAAACATTAGTTTGTGTTTCTCACTCTTAATGTTTTCTTGAACAGGAAACAAACCATGGAACCAACCCTATCATTGACCAATTGGTAAATTTTAGGGTTTATAGTACCAAAAATTCGATTATCATATTCACAGTGAACACAGCACAGAAAGTCCATGGTGCTACTTCATGCTTGATAAGAATGAAATGCACTGAACCTCAGATACCTAATCGGGCACATTAAATTAGTTTAAACACTGGGTCATAGTGGGTGCATTTGGTCCACCATGGTTGTCATTTGAATTTTAACCTAAATTTCCATTTTTGTGTAATCTCTAGAATTTATCAACAACCACTAGATAATTTTTTAAATATGCCTCTGACAACCCTTCTTCTGCCTTTTAATAATTGAAAGAAAAACCCGAATACTGTGATAAACTACGAACTATGTGAATACCTCTCTACAGAAAATACAAAACCCCAGATTTAGTTATTTAGCCTATGTTGGAATTGCATCGTAGAGACTAGTGTAGTCATTGTAGCAGAAAGTATGCGCTAAACTGGCGCTTTATTTTTGCGAATGTGTAGCACATGATCGCAATTTGAATGATATAACACCAGTTAGGCCTAGCACTCTTTGTAGAAAAGAACTAACATTTTAGAATTCATAGCACTAATATTCAACTTACTTACTTCTGAAGTTATTCAATGCAAGGAAATCAAAAATCTATTCAAATAAGCTTGTTATATTCTTATTTTAGACTTAGGCATAGAATTAAACGTACTCAACACTTCAAGCCACAGAATAACTACAGCGGTCTCTGTTGTGTAAAAGTCGCGTTTTGGAACAGTGAAGAAGAGGTTTCTATTTTCCCATAAAAAAGTAAAGTGCTTTGCAAAAGTATTCACCACTACCAATAATGTCATATTTTGATGAAACACAAGTAATACAAACAATTTTTTAATGAACTTGTTTATATTCAAAACTCTCATGATCAAACTTAGCAGTGTTATGTATGAAGGCGGTTGAATGTCAGCAAAACCTGCAAGGAAAATATATAAAATTGAAATTTGCTGATTGCATAAGTATTCAGCCATCTAAGTCAATACTTGGTGGAAGCACCTTTAGCAGCAATTACTACTGTGAGTTTTTCTGAACAGGTCTCTTCCACCTTTTCACAATGGATTTGTGTAATTTTTGCCCATTTTTCCTCGAAAATTGCGCCAATTCTGTCAAGTTCGTTGGGGATTGTTAATGGACTACAATCTTCAGGTCTCGCCATAAATTTTGTTATTGGATTCAAGTCAAGACTTTGATTGGTCACTCCAGGAGATCTACTTTTTTCTTTTGAAACCATTCCAATGTGGTTTTGACCTTATGCTTCGGGTCATTGTACTGATGAAATGTAAATTGTCGACCCAGTTTTAGATTCTTGACTGACTCAAGCAGCTTTTCCTCTAGGATTCACCTATATTACTTTGCACCATCCATTTCTCCCTCAATCCTAACTAGCTTCCCACTCCATGCTGCCCCCACTATGCTTAACAGTTGGGATGGTGTTGACTGGGTGATGTGCTGTGTTAGGCTTTTATCAGACGTAGAGCTTTGAATTTAAACCAAAAAGCTCAATTTTTTGTCTTCTCTGACCATAAAACTTTCTGCCACATGTTTGCAGTATCATTTACATGCTTTGTCGCAAACTCCATACTAGATTTAAGATGATTCTTTTTCAGTAATGTCTTCTTTATTGTCACTCACCCATACATGCCAGCTTTATGTAGGGACTGTGATATTGTCGATGCATGAATACTGATTCCTATCTTAGACATAGAACTTTGCATATCTTTAAAAGTCACTGTTGGCTTCATAGTAGCATTTCTAATCAGATTCCTGCTTTTCCGGCAGTTTAATTTGGAAAGTTGGTTTGATCTGGGTAGTGATTGGGTGATATGAAGCACATTCCACTTCTTAATGATGGACTCACCGTACTCAAAGAGGTAATCAGCGACTTTGAAATGTTCTTATAACCTTCTCCTGATCTGTGATTCCTTATCACTTTATCCCTGACTTGTTTGGAAAGCTCCTTGGTCTTCATAGTTGGTTTGTCGTATCACTATGTCAGTTGTGGCTTAAACACATGCATTTACTCTGAAGTCAAATTAAACCACTTTGATTACACACAGACAGTTACACTAATACTGTAACCTTTCAAACTAATCTTTTGCACCTGAACTGATTTAGGGTTGCCGTAGCAAAGGGGTTGAATACTTATGCAATTGAGAATATTCTAATTTTCTTCTTAAATCTAACTTACTTACATAATGTCAGCGTTTTTTAGCTTTCTCATTTGAAGTAGATTGTGTAGATTCTAAATATTTCCCATTTGAGAGTTTCATGTTTGCAAGCTCAGACGGCAACAAAATGTTGAAACTTTGCAAAGGGTTAATACTTTTACAAGGCATTGTAGGTAGGTTCCACAAAATAACAGGAGGTTTGGCAGAAAAATGTATCACAGAATAAATGTAAATCCTCTTATTTTGATTGAGTTCTGAAAGAAAGAAACTGGAAACAGTGTATGACAATGTAAACCAACTTTATTCATAAAAATAATAAAAGATGTGTTTATAGCAATACGTATGAGAGCCCTTAGTAATATTGTCTGTTCTATACAGAAAACACAGCATTCTACACACAAAGCAATAATGCTATTATTTTAAGAGCTCGTGCAATACCCACTGGACTGTTGGTAATTTCCATGAAAAATATGCGAGGTTGTATCCTAAAGGTATTATCTGATTTTCTAGTCGAAATAGTAAATGTCCACGTGTATATAGTATGTTCAAACTTACAGAAAGCTTTCCCATAAGAAGGCTAATGTGATATGACAGGTAAATGATGCAGTGCAATACGTAACTAGAGCAAAGGGAACTTAACTATTTCCTTGATCAACGTTATTTAGCTGAAACTACAAACACTGTATGTGCGAGTTTTTATATCAAAAACACGTGATATGCCTACTTACTAAAGATTACTGCTAGTGTAGTGACAAACAATGAATACATCAAAAACACATTTAAAAATATTGACAGCGTGATAAAATAGAAATAAACTGAACAATCTGAATTTTACTTAGATAAACAAGGCATAAAAACTGAATGATCAACGTTATTCTCACAGACAGAGCCTATGAGAGTGATTCTAGGTTACTGGGAACTAAGAACTAACTCTAAAGTATTTGAAATCTGATGACATGCATACATATTTTTTGCAAGTCATTCTATTCAGGGAGCTTCTTATGAGAATATAACAGTGGACAAACTGATTGAGTGACCACGTATCATCACGTTAAATGGAAAGATAGCAACTCTGACACACTGTCTTATCCAAAATGTATAGTCATTTACAACTGAAATCTTTCGGAATAATGGTGAAGGGCACCAATAAAGTGAAAATTTTACAGGACTAGCTGTATATAACATGTTTCGAGTTAGAAGCTGTGGGTTGCCCTAGTTGTGAATATTTACTAACAGTACAGATATCATTCCTATTCTGTATCAGGTGATGTATACATTGCACTGGACATCTTTCACAATACAGAGTAAAAAGTGTGTCACTGATTTGGAAAATTAAAATAATTGTGTTTGCAACGAAATATTATATACATATTTAGCAATTTTATTGAAAGTATATGCTTATTGCTCACGTATAATCATTTTCAGTAACACTAGAAAGTGTTAGGTACACATGTTATCACATGTATTTATTAAGATATATTAATCCAGTCGCAGTATAAGTGACATGAAGCGATAAATAAGTGTATTCTGTCCCCAACAAAACTATTTATTAGCTTTCAAAAATTAAGCAATAATATCTGTACGTTTCCTCTGCAGCCATTATTAGTTACCTTTGTACTTACATCTATAAAATATATTACAACTAGATATGATCTTTTGAGCTATTACAGCTTTTGAAAAAAAAAAGGTTTGTAAATCTGTTTTCACCATAACTATATTTCTAGCTACTACATCATGATAGCTTACACTATAATGCGTTTCAACCACAAGTTAATTAGGCTAACACTAATATAAACACCTCTTCTTGATTAGAGGCAAGAAAGCGTATTTGAATCAGTCGTGAAGGAACAGTTTTAACAGCCAATGACGTGCAATGAGTACTGAAACACACTAACGATTTTAAAAGTGATTAAAACTAACCTTAAGTCATAACTCGAAGGGAATTGAGTTATTAGAGTTTTAGGATAAATGGAAACAGGGTAGCTTGGTTTCGCTCGAAATACATATATTGTTCTGATTGGAAGTTAATATTAATTACACATTGAATACTGAAAATAATTACTAAATTGGGCTTCAGATTAAACGTTTGAAGACCAAGATCCCAGTAACAGAAATGATGCATGATAATCACCATGAATTCTGTGCATTGTATTTTATATATCCACGAGAGAACCGGCTTAAAGTGAAGGGATTAAATTTAGGTAGTCTGTAGTAATCAGACGAAACGAAAGCGTAGAAATCACAATATAAAAACAGATGTCAAACCGAGCTACTTAGCCTTAACTTACATCCTCTCCTTGTTGGAGTTTCTACATCAACCTAATTTAAGATATACTACAACCTTAGTTGCCACAGTTCAAAGTAGTTTTTGCATATGATATAAAGTTTTACTTGTTTTTTTTATGTTTTTAGTGTGATTTTACAGCACTGTTTTGCATAAAAGGTTGTTATTGTTCCATTATCAACGTTTCAGACAGTTAAAGTATTGTGTGGTTGAAATTTGTAATGAACTATTTCTGACTTGTTTCTTGAACAGAAAGACTCCAGCATAGGAACCGACACAATGTTTTATTCAATAAATAAATGTGATTACTATAAAAGTTTTACTTCATGCACTTTTTTTAGAGATAAACGCAGGGCAAATATTGTGCTTAATTTTCTAATGTTCCTAAGAATTTGTATAGAGTAATCAGCAAACAATTACATAAAAATGAAGTAATTTCATTCTTTATTGTATTCTAGACACTTAAAATTTGGGAAGATTTTTACGTTTATGAACTATGAAATATTGTAAATGAACTGGGCTGTAAAGATTCACATATACTATACATTTTCTTTCTTTCTTTTTTTAAATTGTAGCTGTGTTTATTTCAAACCTTAAAATTAAAATCTCAAACTAAGAAATACTTTCTGTTTTATTGTTCATTGTGTGTAATTGATAAAAATTAGTGGGTAAATTACGGAAATAAAATTATCCCTTAAAGAGTATAAGAATTTCAAAGGACGACTTTGTTTGTGTAGATACACATGTCCATAAACATATCTGTCAAATGTATGGCTAAGCAGATAATTATACAAGATTATTAAAAATTGGTAATCTAAAATGGGGGAATATGGATCTTCAAAAAATACAAAAACAAGATCGGTAGCTTAAAGTAAAAATGCACTCGCAAAAAGTACAAAAAAACGAGCTGTAATATTCAGAAGAATTAAAATAAGGATTTGTTGCTTGAGAAAATAATGTGAACACTATGTCTCAAACCTTAAGTTTGTTTGTTTACTTTTTTTGCAATTGCATTTTCACTTTAAACTACCTATCTCGTTTCTTTTAGATTTTGAAAATCTTTATTCGCCCTTTTTAAATTAAAAATTTTTATAATCTTATTCCTTTAGTTTCTTTTACCATCATGGACATAAATTTGTATAATAGCAATACTATCCTATTTGAAACAGTTTAGTTTAATGAAATACGTAGTGGTGTATGATGCTCTCTCGAGAAACAATGACAACCTTTGGATTGGCTTCATGCAGA